GGAAAAGAAGCTTGGTATAGAGGTTCCCGAAGGCCATTCAGTTTGGGCCTGGGGATTGTGCCATGCGTCGTGGTTGCTGAACAGGTACCACAGACACGCTGCGATAGGTTCAACGCCCTACGAAAGTGTCGTGGGCAGACCTTACCTCGGAAAGATAGCCCCATTCGGTGAGTATGTATATGCTCTAAAGAAACCCGAGAAGAAAGGAACAGCGAATTGGATTGGAGGAATCTATCTAGGTAAGAACTCCCAGGCTATGCATTTGGTAGGAGTTGAAGACGGAGTCTTGGCTGGAGAAAAGAACCCCTACTGAAGCTGAGTGTAACTCCATGGAACCCCAAGAAACCAAAAGGAACATTCAGTAAACAGCCGTTACCAGCCCCAGCGTTGGCAAGTATCGCCGAAGAAGAAACCGCGCAGGAACCTGTAGTTCGTATGGAAGATCGAGGACAATCTCAAGAAGAACAAGTGGAAGAATTATTGGATATGCTGGACACAAGTGGAGCCTCTAGCGGAGGCAGGGCCTCAGACGGAGGCAGGGCCAGCACGGGATCGAGTTCTCATTCCCGGAGTTCAAGTTCGATGCACGATGTACAAACTGGAGAGCCTGAAGGAAACCAAGTATGTGTTAGTGATGACACTATGCTGGAAGACTTGCGAAAGCGACCAGTAGAAGGAGGACAAGGAGTTGAAGGATCTCCAAAGAAGTCACGTGAAGAACTATCGGCGCCATCATCACCCTCTAAAGGAATCTACCCGCCTTTGTTCGCAGGCAGGGTATCTCAGGAAGATGACCCATTCCATTGGGATGAACACGAGGATCTCACAGCAGTAGAAGGAGAAGATGTAGAGTATGCAGATCTCATGGAAGAAGAGATGGAAGAAGTTCCCAAGATGACCAAGGAGAAACACCACCGGAATTGAGTCCAGAAGAGCTGGATGCCTTGGATCAAGAAGCAGCAGTGGAAGAGCTAAATCGCCTTAGCAAGCTAGGAGTAATTGAGGAATTCATGGAGGCGAACGGGACAGGGAACGAAAAACGCATGGATTTGCGTGAAGTCTACGACTGGAGGTTTCGTGACAACAGGTGGAAAAGACGTTGCCGGATAGTGGCAAGGGAGTACAGGGCAGGTGCGAGTTCTACGGCTGAGACATTCAGCCCGACGGCGAGCAACGCCGTGTCGCGCCTAGTCTTGTTGTTACACCTGGTGTACAGGTGGGTCGTAGTAGTCCTAGATATAAAGGACGCATACCTTCAGGTCCCGCAGAAAGAAGAGGTGCTAATAACGATCAGCGATTGGATGAAGCGAGCCGCCAATCTGAAGGAAGGAGTGCTGTGGAGGTTGAAGAGATGCCTCCCAGGCCAACGTAACGCAGCAACAAGATGGTATGAACACTTGCGGAGTATACTGGAGAAACTTGGATTCATATTCTCAGTTCATGTACCCGCACTGGCTAGACACACCACAAGGAAGCTGTGTATCTCTATCCATGTAGATGACGAATTGCTAGCTGGAGAACCGGAAGAAACGGTTTGGCTAGTGGAAGAGTTGGAGAAGGTGTTCAAGGTGGAGAAAGAAGGACCGTATCCAGCCGACGGAGTAGGAAAAGGAGAAGAGATGCGGTATCTCAAAAGGAAGTATGTCTTCATTCAGGAAGGAATAGTTGTCCAACCAAATGAGAAGTATGTCCGGAAGCTCATCGAGTTGTATGACCTTGGAAAGTTGAAGAGCAAGGCCACACCAGAGCACATGGATCTGGTAAAGGAAGACCGGAGTAAAGAATTGAGTGCTGAAGAGACAAAACGGTTTAGGTCTGGACTTGGATCTATTTTGTACCTTGCACAGGACAGAATTGACATTCAGTATGCCTCAAAGTGTTTGGCATCAAGTATGTCGAAGCCGACAGTGCAGGCACTGAAGTGTCTGAAGCACTTGATCTTGTACCTGAGTGGAACAGCCACAAGGGCGACTTTGTTACCGTATACCGAAATTGGAAATCGGTTGATTACGAAGCTCAATGGCCACGAGGATGAAGAAATTGCCAAGGATGCAGGACATGTTGTGGAAGCGTATTCGGACAGTGATTGGGCGAGCCTGAAGACACCTGAAAGAGCTCGAAGGAAGAGTACATCATCAGGAATCATTGTACTAAATGGAGTACAAGTGCTGTCATTTTCGAGGACCCAGAAGGCCACATTGAAGCAGAGTTGTATGCACTAAGTGGAACTTGCGGAGAAGCTATTCTAGTTGGAAGGCTATTCGAGTTCCTGGCGAACGCACCCGTACGCGTGGAGATACGGTGCGATTCCTCATCTGCACGGCAGTGGAGTCAACGAAGAGGAGTTGGACGTCTGAAGCATGTGGACGTTAGGTTGTGTCAACTGCAAGATTGGGTGAGAGATAATCTTGTCAAACTTGGAACGGTAAGAACCGCGCTCAATGTAGCGGATCTGAACACCAAGAAGTTGACGTATGCCCGAAGGTCATTCTTTCTGTATCACTTGTTCCAAGTAGAGTACGATGAAGAAGAAAACCTGGAGTACACTGGAGAGAAGGAGGAAAAGAAGCTCAAGGAGTATGTTGGAAGTGGACAAATCAAGAACCTTATAAGAGCAATACAGGTATTTCATCTGATGAAGCCTATCACCGCAGCAATGCTCAAGGAGGACGTAGCGAACGCCCGAGCAGAGAGTAGTGAAGCCTTTGGAAAAGGTATGGACGCCATGGACGGATTTACGAAGTTCGAGGTTTGTATGATCGTATGCGTAATGCTACTCGCAGCCCCGTACGCAATCAGTATGTGGAAGAAGTGTATTCGCACGGTGGACCAGATCAAAGGAGTCGGTATGGTGAAAATATCGACAGGGTCAAAGGCCCGCGTGTTCCACAAGGGAACATGTTGGCACGTTCAAGGAAGCCATATGCGTTCTGGCAAATGGATCTGGAAAGAAGAAAGTGAAGCTGTAGCGGAGGGCTACAGACACTGTTGGGTTTGCTTTCCGGAGACGAAGCCAGAAGGAAGCATGCGAAAATGCCGTGGACGTGTAGAGCCGCCAATCCCAGATGAAAGTGACTGGGAAGTGATGGAGCTTGACTACGAAGTAGAGTCAGCTGGAGGATGCACAAAACAATGTCACTGGTGTGGAATCAGGAAATGTACAAGGGAGAAGAAAAACCACCAGAAATGTTCTTGCACGGAATGCATCAAAACGTATGCAATGGAGCAATGGCGGAGAAGTTACGACAGAACTGTGACAGAGGATGCCACGGAAAAGGAAGAGACCCGTGTAACAGAAGATGCGAATCATGCATGGAATGCCGGAGTTCCAAAGAGCGGTACAGGTAAAGGATCTCTGAAGAGACGTGGAAGAGCAGCGATGGGGACACCATCAATCGTACATACAGACGGTGTGCGTATGCCCATCATAAGTGAGGAAGACTACCGACGTGGCGGAAGAATCACATCTGGAAGAAATAAGCAGGATGTGGAGATAAGCGATGAAAACTTCGTTCGTGGAATGGAAGCCCTGGGAAGAATTGTTTCACCGGAAGCCCAGGAAGAACCGGAAAAGAAGAAGGAGCCGGAGATGATTGAGTACCGTGGAAAGATGATAAGCATGGAAGAGATGGGGAACAAGATGCTATCCCCAGAGGCACAGGAATCGTATGAAGAGTATTGCAGACAATGCAATGAGATGTATGACGCGTCAGGAGAACGCGCACAAGGATCGGATATCCCGATGGATCTGTTTGGGAGTCCGAAGCAAGTAGTGGATCCCGGTACGCCAGACAGTACGGAGGAACGTACGTTGTTCGGAAGTCATTAAGCCCTACATCGTGTACAAGTATGAGACAGAGCAGTGAGTGTAGGCAAGACTGAAAAAGTTTCACCCCGGAACGCACAGCAGCGAAAGCGCAAAAGAAGGAAGAGCGCTGACGCAGGAAGTTTGTTTGGAAGTTGTTTCACATAGACGAAGTACTTGTTACTGTACGAATGTCAGGACATGGACGGTCTGACGCACCTCCTTAATTCGGGGACGCTAAAAGGTGGGTTGCACGGAGTGTTTAACCCAAGGACTTGCAATGGCAAAGCCTATGCAGTCACGGGCGGAGGTATGCCCGACCGCGGACCGATCGAAGTACAGCACAAGGACTTCGAGGCAGGGTGTTAAATTCTGTACATAGGAACGCCCCACACCTTTGGTGAGCCCAGGCTACGGTATATTTACTTGCAGCGCCTTTTGACTCAAGCAGGAAAAGCGTGACCGCTCAGGGTTTTACAGTTTAACTCTTCAGGACCAGAAAAGCCCTCCCGAGCCTTTGGTCGACAAGCGGAAGAATCTCGTTGTGGACCCGCCTGCGCAGCCTTACCAGTACAAGCCGCCGGCTATGGCCCTGCCAAGATTGCCTTGCCCTAACATGCACAGCTGCATCATCATCCCCAGCCTTTCTTTGCCGCACACCTTCGAGCTGGACCCAGCCTTCGCCCGGATTTATTATATGCGGCCTTCCGTGCTCGACCGTGCCTTTCTGCCCTTACCATTCAGCCTGTGGTCGCGAACTCAATGAGGGTTCCGTCGAGCACAATTATAAGCACTCCGGCCATCAATGTTCGCGCTGTAAAGAATTTACAGACCTTGGCCGCAGCCCTTTTGAATGGTTTTCTGCCGTACCCCCGCAGGCCTCCTCGGGGCCTCGGGGTAGCCGTTTGCCTTCAAGCCTTTTGCTAGCCTTTTGCAGCCTTCACCAAGAATTTCGTACCAAGTTAGCCATCAGCCATGATCGAGGCTCAGGCACACGGCATTTTTCGCGCCGCACGACAGCCGCCATCGGCCCACAAAAGAGTGCTTGCCTTTCTTCCTGCCTGTTTCTCAGCTTAAGGGTAATGTGCTTCTATCCAGCCTGGACCTGCAGGACCAGCCTGGCCTTTCAGCAGCGTGCCCAGAAACTGTGTGCGTTGCGGATTCTCTGGCCTTCAATGCATGCCGTTAGCCGATCATGGATCCAGACACAGATCCCGAAGACGTTAGCAATCTAGAATCATGGAGTCCGGTCAACAGCCTTCACAGCGATGCTCAGCGAACAGGAAGATCCCTACCTGCTCCACTCTGGGTGCTCTCGGGGCTTCTTCACCCGGACGACGATCGGCCTACAGCCGCCCAGCCAGATCGCAGCAGGAGCCCCAGCCGAGAGAGCCCTGTGTCAGCGAGACAAGAGCGGGCCACAGTGGTCCGACGCTTTCGAAAAGATTCCTTTGCCTTCGCTTCAACAGTGAGCCCTATACCGCCAGGATCAGACAAACACGTTCTCCTGCCCTTGCAGTCGGTGCACAAAGCGCGTCCGGGCTTGCCCCCCCCAGCCTTGCCACCGGCCGTTCGCCCGGCCCCGCCCTTTTCAGTCCACAGCCTTATCAGACCCCGCTCTTTGCAAGTACCAATGCCTTCGACGCTGCACAGGCGACCGCGGTTTCCGCCAGCCCTGAGCAAAGGGGGGCCTCGACCCAGCTGGCGTGCCAGCCTTCTCGGACTCAGCCATCCAGTCTGTCAGCCTTTAGTGCGGCCAACACCAAGAAGCCTTCGCTACGTGCCACCGGCACGCCCACAGCCAGCACCGGAACGGCCGCTTGGTCCTAGATTCCATGTTCAAGACCTGCCCTCGCGACCTGCATCAGCCCCGACCTCGGTCCGGCATACGCGCTTGCCTGACATGGTGCAGCCCTTGCGCCCTGATGGCAGGCCCACACAGGTTACCAGGAAAGGCCAGGAGGCCTCCAGAAAAGCCAAGGCCCTGGAACAGTGGAAGGAGCTGCTCTGGCTCCTCGGGGACTCGGCAGATTTGTACCGTAGCCTTCAGGAGGCCAAGTATTCCCAGCAGTTACTCGCCCAGAGCATCATGCCCTCTACTACTGCTGGCACACTGGAAACCTACTTGTCAGCCTTGACGTCAGCACGGTCTCAGTAGCTAGCCTGGGAGACCTGCTATGGGCATGCCACTCCAGCCTCGAAGAAGATAGAGAAGTGTGCCGCACCGGCCCTATGATCAAAGCCCTTTCATGGCTAGCCAAGACAGCCGGCCTCGCCCAACTCGCATTTGTGCTTTCAGACCGACTCATCAGGTCCTTTACGGCTCAGACCGACACGGACAGAAATGAAGCCTTGCCACTGCCACTTGCAGTTGTCACAGCCTGGGAGCGCCGTATATGCCAGCCGGACTAGAACTTTGCCTTGTGCTAGGGGGTTTCAGCCCATCAGCCTTAAGAGCCTCTCGCTTACAGGACACAGCCTTAGAGCGGTTTGTTGGCATACAAAAACCACCAAGAGAGGTCAGCCATTCGCGGTTCGTCTCCATGGGATCTCCGGCCGAGACCCGGCTAGCCTCTGGGTGCTGCCCTTCCTTAGAGCCGTCCAGACGGTATGGGAACGTACCGAGGAGATCTACGGCACACTCAATTGCCCCGACTTCATACTGCCCACTCTGCACAACCTACGGCGTTTCCCGCGCAAGCCAGCAGCAGCCTATGTCCTACAGCCAAGCGCTAGGGTGCCTGCGCTTCTTCATGTGCCGCAACATTGGAAGGCAACTCCCCGGAGCTACTCACACCAGAAGAAGCGTCCGCATTCACTATGCACAGCCTTAAGGCCTGTCTGCTCAGCGCCGGTGCACAGATTCAAGCCGCCGATAAAATACGCCAACAGCAAGGCCACCACAAAAACCCTAGCGTACAGCTTTACGGGAGAGACGATACCCTCGGAGCCTTGGCCCTACAAACTGAAATTACCCAAGCATGTGCCTTAGGTTGGAGGCCCACGCGCCCCATTGCCAGGGGAGGACAGCACCCGACAGTAGAGCCGCCTTTTGAAGTTAGCTCGTCTTCGCCGCCCAAGTCCTTCCAGCTCTCGGCCCTCGGGAAGGGCCTCGACAGATTTGTTTACTCACGTGAAGCAGAACTGGAGCAGGTCTGCTTTGACACCCAGCCAGCCGTCTCCGCCTGTGGTAATCACTGCACAATCCGAGCAAGAGACCTCTGCAGCCAGCAGCCTTCCACCGACTATACCTGCAGACGACATCGAAGCCCTGCTAGTGGAGAGCTTTGCGTTCACGCAAGCCGACTCTGCCGACTCGGATGACCAAGCTGCCCCGCAGACAGTGGAGGACATAGCCTTGTTCCAGAATGGCCCCTGGGGCTCCGTTCATGCTCAGCCGTTGGGAGCCGACAAAGCGGCCTGCGGGACGCCCCGCTCCACGGCCGCCTTTTGCCCCACATGTCCCAACACAGCCTTTTTCTGCCGCAGAGAGGCTTGCCGACGCCTGCTGGACGCACTGCCTTAAGGAAAACGCGGGCGTGGCGCTATGCTCTCTGCCGGGTCAGCCTGATCACTTGCCATGCCTTTTTACCGCAGCCGTTTAGGCTTACCTGCCTCAGTTGCACCTAGGTTCTCCGCAGGGATGGCGCTCTTTGAGCAATCCGACCTCGCAGCCTTCCTGCAGGCGCAGGGGGTGCGCGAAGTAGTTTGCAATGGCCTCGCCCTCAAGGGGTTGAGGACCTGGCATTTGCCTACCCAGACCTCACTAGCTTTGACACTTTCTTGCAAGGCCTTTCTGAGTCGGACCTCAGTGATATGGGGGTCTCGGATGCACTACATTCGGTCCAGCCATCGTGATCACAGCCGTCACGGCTTTCAGAAGGAGTCGCTCGACAGCATTTTTCAGGAGGCAGTTTCAGCAAGTTTGGAACGTAGGTGACTTTGAGCATTGTGTGCAACATGGCCAGATCGACGACGCATGGGGATGCCTTTCAGGCGCTGCTGGGCGGGCTCTCAGTGTCAGTCCTGGTACCTCGGGGCCCCGGGCTTTCGATCCCGTGCTGGTGCCTAATGAGGCCGAGCGCCGACGACTCCGGCGACCTCGGCAATCTCGTGGCCTAGGTGGGTTACGCCGCCTCCTTCGACGACTACGCCAGCTTGAGATGGAGCCCGAGGACCAGTGTCTCCGTAGATGATCCATCAAGGCCTCTCTGGTGGACTTGCGCGAGCTAGTGCCCGCGCTGCCTTATTTCCCTGGCGACCTCATGGAGGCTGGAGGCGAGGTGGCTAAGCTTGTTCAGCAATACGAGACCCAGGAGTCTGAGGCCAGATTGGATGCGTGGCGCAACACCGACAAGTCCTACACAAGAGTTGTGCATGGGTCAAACGGAAGGCCGATGAGGCACAAGCGTGTTTCGGGCAGCCTACGGAGCTCAGGGAGGCTGTGGCGGCTGTGGCTACACATCCGGCTCAGATTCTTCGTGAACAGAGTGCAGTGTGGAGTGCTTTGTGGACACGTTCCCGGGAGGCACCATTCGATCCTGGACCTCTTCGTCAGGTGCTTTCGGAGTTGCCTCGGCCTCTTGACACGCAGGCCGACCTTCAGGTTTCAGCGGAGGGGTTGTGCAAGGCGACACAACGCATGCTGAAGAAAGCATGCGGCAGTGATGGCTGGGAGGCTCGCGACCTCCTGCGTTTGCCGCCAACCTTCTGGGAGGTCACCGCCACTTTGACTTCAGCTTTGGTGGTCCTGCTGCCTAAGGCCGACGGTCGCACGAGGCCGGTGGGTCTCCTTTCCATCCTGTGGAGAGCTGGCGCACGGTGCCTTGTCAAGCAACTGCGAGGCTGGGTCGGGTCATGGACCACGGCCCAAGCCATGGGAGGCATCGCTGGTGTGGGGATTGCCGACACACACCTCCGTTTGATGGGCGCACATCGGCGCGGCTGTCGCGCCTTCGTGAAGCAAGATTTGTCTCATTTCTTTGACTCGCTGACGTTGGACGTTCTGCTCCCATTGATGGAACACTACAAGGCGCCGGCAGCGTTGTGCAGGCTGGTGGAAGCCATGTACTGCGACTCGCGGCGACTCTTCAAAGTGGAGCAGTTCACTTCTTCGGGCTTCATCACGGCAAACCGTGCAGCCTTCACCTGCCTTGCCATCCCTCCCAGCAGCCCTCGCCCCTTCTGCCTCACCATCCTCCTGGATGGAGCATTTGCCGCCTAAGCTCAGCTCGGAGGTCGTTCAGGATCTGGTCACGACCTTTAAAGCCAACTATCCGGGAGAGCTCCTGGACGACGATACTATGCCGTCAATACGCCTTCTCAGCCTTGTGCAACACAGCCTTCAGCCAGGAGAAAAGCTTAAGTGGATACCGTGGCAGCTTCGCCTTAGCTCCAAACAATACTCCGAAATTATGGAGGCCAAGTCATCTAAGCCTATGAGGACGGAGGCCCAGCTGCTCGCCTCAGCCATATATGACGACACACCTGAGATGGCCGTCTCCCATCTCCGCCTCTCCGTGTCCTGGCTACAGCGCATCCAAACAGTGTTCAGGAACGCTTGGGCACTGTGTGGGGCAGCCCACCTCAACAACCTCAAAGCCTTCGACAAGCGAGTCGAACACTTAGCCTTGCCAGACCGAGCCGACTCCTCCCTCAAGGGACCAACAACGCAGGAGCTCTTAGCAGCTGATCGCAAGATTTGGAACACCATTTCTAGCCTTGCTGCCTCTGGCTGGAGCCTCGACGAAGCCTTGTATGAGGTCACTAGCATTCGGAGTGACCTCGCCAACCTGCTTCAGCCAAGACCGCGGCCGCCGCCGACACCGCCGGGTCCTAACCGCCGTCCCAATGGAGGAAACCCACCCCCCCGCCAAGCAAAAGAATCCGCCTTAACACGCCAACCACCGAAAAAGGTGGCAAGGGCAAGGGCCGCGGCAAAGGCCTTCAGAAGCCAGATAGCCCATCCAAATCTGACTCATGGCCCTCTAACTGGGTGTTGAAGGCCAAGGGCAAAGTCCTCTGTAAGCGTTACCAGAGAAATCTGTGCGCCTTGCCCAATTGCAAATTCGCCCACCTCTGCGCGGTCCGGGGATGCGGCAAGGAGCACTGTGCCGTCGACCACGACAAGAAGCCGTCGTGATAGGCCCTGCAACAGAGTCTCAGCCGCACCAGCAATATCAGCCACCTCCCAGGCCGATACCCGAAGCCGAAGCCTCACAAGTTGCAGCCATGGAGCAGCCTCAGCCACCCGAGAGCCCACTGCAGGACTCGCCGCCGACATCCCAAGCCGCAGAACAACATCAGCAGCTTCAGCCTTGGCCATGCGCAACACGCAACCCCGGCGGGGGTCCGGCAGGACGGCGCTTTGCCAACCGTGTCTGGACGGCGATCAGCCAACGCAAAGCCCATAAGCCCCCAGTGGTCCCCAGCCTTAAGACCTTAGCGGTTTGCCCTTCCATCCCCATACCTAAGTAGCCCCGAAGTTATGTTGACTTATAAGTCCATATAGCTCCACATAAGTCCACATAACTCAACATAACTCAACATAACTCCACAAGTCCAAATAACTTCGACCCTTTTTTTAAGGAAGTTATGTTGAGTTATCTTGAAACCGGCTGACGACGAAAAAAGTTATTTGGAGTTATTTGGAGTTGTGTATTTTCGTTGTTTCAAAGCAGTTTAAAGTTATTTGGAGTTATTTTTATAACACTTATGAACTTTTTGCTGCATTACATAGTTTTGGCTCAAGCACAGCGTTTTTCACGTGCGACATCCAAGATGTCGCAAGTCTTGAATCACTTGAAGGCAGCTCAAGGCTTCCTACGGCAGACGATGGCACTGCCGAATTTTGCACTTCTGCAGGGACAGCAGGGTCGTGTGCTTGAAACCATGCTCGGCAAGAGCTCGTCGATGTCGACAGAGGTCGCGAGCCAGATTCTAGCAGAGCTGGACGATGCGTGCTGGGGTATGGAGACCGCGGGGAGGATGAAGGAGATGGTTTCAAATATGGTCCAGGTAGAGACCGTTCCGGCCGCGACTGCTGCACGGAAGACTTTGCAAGACTTTACGAACTTCCCGCTGTACATGACGGAAGATCAGTGGCAAGCCTTGCAGAGGCAGCCTTCGGCGGCCGAAGTCCTAGGCCTTCTAGCACCGATGCTTGCAGAGTTAGGCCTTCGGAGTCCTACCGAGGGCACCTGTGCAGCTGTGTGGATGTTCGGTTACATGGTACGGCAGGAGGCAGTGCCTGATCAAACGAAGTTCACGAAGGACTTTCCTGAGTTCAAGGCTCGCTTCAGGAAAGGCCTGCAGGTCAAAGGCGACCCGGTGGATTGGCTGCCGAGCATTCCGGCGGAGATTCAAGATCTCCCGGCAGCACTCAGTGCTCGGATCTTCAGCAACAAGCCGGCGGCGAAGCCCAAAGTAGATCTGGAGAAGCTGAATGCCCTCACGTCGCAGTACAAGAAGCGGCGATACCCATCGAACAGCGAGATAGTGGTGGAGCAGCCAGAGCAGAGCTTGCATCGCTTCGCCTCTTCGGCTAGTGCCGTTATGGATGCTGTGGCTAGGAAGCTGGACGATATCAAGCCGGCGGAGGCAAGTGGAGGTGCAAAGGCAAGTGGAGATGCCAAGGCAAGTGGAGATGCTATGCCCAGCTGTCTCCCGCTGGAAGATCAGCCGCCAGCCCAGCTTCTTGCGTTGGAGGACGTGAAGATAGAACAGAAGTCTGAGTGAAGCGAAGGCCCGAGTGTGGCTGCAGAACTCAGGGCACTAGCAGGCAAACGGAAGCAGGAGCCGCCAGCCAGTGCGGAGAGTACCGTGAAACGGAAGCCTGCGGCAGCAGTAAGGCAGAGACCGGCAGCAGCAGAGTTAATGCTAGTGCCGGCTCCACTGTCAGAGCCCGAAGCAAAGGCAGTGCCGCGTCCTAAGTGTAAGCCTGCAGTGCTTCGGAAACCCTCAGCAGCCCCTGCGGTGCTTCGGAAGCCCTCAGCAGCACCCGCGGTGCTTCGCAAGCCTGCGGCAGCCCCTGCGGAGCTGACAGCCTCTGCGGGACAGAAGCGGAAGGACATTGCGGGATACACGATGGAGGAACGGCTGCTTGCCCGGCCCAACGGCTGCGGCCGTTGCCGCTGGATTGCCGGATGCACTCCCTCGTGTTTCCGGGCGTGAGCGGGGCAGCGGTCACGGCAAGCATGCAATATTCCCGGCTGCACTCGGTCTTCCATATATATATATATTTATATAGCCGAGGGATCATGCATGGCAACGATCTTCCCGAACCTCGGTAGGCGTAGGATAGTAGCGCTCACACCCGGAGTTTTGCAGTGGCCCGCAACAAGTGTTTGCACAAACACGTCGGCATGAGCCAGCCTGTCCTGCTGCATGTTTGCAGATGTTCTTAAGTTTTTGTATATATAGCCGCGAGGCTCAAGAGGGGCAGGCTTTCCGGGCTGCAGAAGGGCCCCTGCCGTGAAGGCGAGACTGGGGTTTCCTTTCGGGTTTGGGGTTTAAGAGTGGCTGCATGTGTGCCTGCAGGTTGACAAGGGTGCCTCCCACTTGAAGGCGGGCGGGAGCGACAAAGACCAGAGAGAGAGAGAGAGAGAGTATAATGAAATATAATATAATATATAATATAATATAATATAATATAATATAATATAATATAATATAATATATTATAATATATTATATTATAATATAATATAATATAATATAATATAATATAATATAATATAATATATTTTAATATAATTTAATATATAATATATAATATATAATATATATAATATATATATATATATATATATATATATATATATGGAGATGTGCGGCTTCGGTCGCCATCTGCTATAGAAGGCAGACGTGTGGCTTCGGTCACCGTTTGCACTCGAATGACGGCAGATGTGCGGCTTCGGTCGCCGTCTGGCCTGAGAGACGTGTGGCTCCGGTCACCGTCTTCGGAGACGGGATGCAGATGTGTGGCTCCGGTCACCGTCTGCAGAGATGGCAGAGTTGTGGCTCCGGTCACCTCTGCAGAGATGGGATGCAGACGTGTGGCTCCGGTCACCGTGTGCAGTCATGCACCGTGTGGCTACGGTCACCGTGCAAAAGGAGAGAGAGAGAGAGAGAGAGAGAGATATATATATATATATACATATAATTTTTCATGTAGAGAAATATAAGAATTGTAAATATTATATAGATATATGTCCTGGCAGGTCATGGGCCGACGAAGTGGAAAGAAGAACGACGAGGAGCGAGGCCGCCACCGGTCCCGCTCAAGCAGCCCGGACCGTCGACCCAAGCCCCGTCGCAGACGTCGCAGCCCGTCGAGCGACTCGCAGTCGAGCTCCTCGCACGGGGCAGCAGCGACGGAGAGAGCTGAAAGAGTTCACGCCATGCGAGAAGCAGCGGAGAAGCACCAGGCGGAGGAGACCGCACGACGTGCAGCGGAGGCCGCGGCGGCAGCAGCGGCGACGGCAAAAGCGGCGACGTGTTAAACATCTTGCCAGGAACAGTAACACCGCTAATGCAGTGTAGCTAATGTAAAGGAACAGCCGTCACGCACACGCGACGTGAAGGCTCGAGACCCCGGACACACGTGCCCAGGAAAGCAAAAGTGTCCGACAGTCTGTGAGGGTAGGAACCCTTAGTGAAACCCGTTCTTTAACATGGTAGCGGAGCTGCCTCCAGGAACCTCCTTGGCAGCGATGATGCTACTTGCAGCAATAGGAACAATGATGCTCGTCGCCATGGCAGTTTGCCTCGTTGCTGGATGGAAGCAGATGCGCGCAAATGAGCAAGTGACCAAGAAGACAGAGACAGTGCTGACTATGCCCACGCTCAGGATCGCAGTCCGTTCAGGAACCAAGTACCACCGCAGAGGTTGTGGACACCTTCGGAACCACAACGTGACAGCAGGAAACGCTCGAGACTTCGACGCGTGCTCAGACTGCTACCCCGACAGAGTGCTGGTGGAACAGAAGGAGTACAGGAACGTGAAGTGCTACGGCCTGGCAGCATGCATTGTGCTGCTGGTTGGTTTCGCCCTGGGATGCCTCGCAACGTTGTGCGGGATGACCTTGAACCCAGGAACAAGAAGTTTGGTTGTGACACCGTGGCAGGCCCTTGGCAACAGCGAAAAGGTCAAGGAAGAACTTGCCCTTGGAGATGGCGTATCCTCCAGGGATGCGAGCCGTGGGAGAAAGGAACTTACGTACGTGGAGAGCGACGAGAGCGAGCTCATGGCCGTGTGGGCGAGCAGAACAAGGAAGCCCAATACGCACCGGAACCGCTACAGGAACTACGACGTGTACGGCGAGTACTACCAGGAAGGCTACAACGAGTGCAGTGTGAACCTTGACGGCACCAACGTGAACACGATCAGGAACACGAACGCGTACACGATCAAGGACTACGTGGAGATAGGAAAAGTCATGGTACCGTACGCTTTGCTGTGTGCGAACCAAGTGCTGAACGAGCTCTACAGCGTCGTTGGCGTGACCGGCGAGTACTACACGGAAGAGCGCAGGAACGGCGACCAGAACACCGAGAACCAGGAGAGTGAGAGCCTTTCAGGCTACGCCCCTATGTACCTAGTAAAACAACAGCGAGGAGTACTGAGAAAGCTTGTACAGGAACATGTTCAGAGTTTCGTAGAAAAGCTAGCAACTGCAGGAAAGAAGTTTCACGACGTCGTGCATGTGATAGTTCAGGAAGTCATTTCCAACAGAGTTGTATTTCAAGGAATTCGCATAGCAGTGTTCTTAGGAACCCCAATGGGACTGATTACTTGGATCACCCTGTCGTACTATTCTAGTTTGTTTTTCGCAAGAGCAAGCAGAAGCTCAAAGCCCCAAAGGAAAACAAGAGGAGAAAGGAGAGCGCAAGCAGTGAACAGGAAGCAGTGCAAGTCACTACTTTTAGCAGCACTAGTGTACAGCAACCTTGAAGCAGCAAAAGGAATGGAGGATGCATTGAAAGCGCTTGCAGAGATCAATGCACAGACCTTTCAAGGAATACAGACACTAGCAGAGGAGATCAGGAACTCAGCAGCTTCAGGAAGCCAAGGAGAAGCAGGACTTACACAAGCGTTTCAGGAAACACTTACAGCAGTGCAGGAACAGCAAAAGGCAACAC